GTTGGCTTGCATGTTACTATGAGGCGGGAGGCTGTGCCACTGGTGTTTCAGATGTCAACAGGGTGGCCCATGGTGGACGGGTTTCAGCGGAGCTTCCAGACTGAGACAGACTCAGAAGAAGGAAGAGGCCATCCACTTCTCAAAGAATTGGCCATTGAAAACCTTATGAAAAGCAGTGAAACACTGACTGATATATTACTGGACAACTTTATGAATAGCCCTGAAACATTGTCTGATACAGCTGGAAGATGAGCCCCTCAGATTGGAAGGCACTCAGCATATGACTGGAAAAGAGCTGCCTCATCAGAGTAGAGCCAATCTTAATGATATGGATAAAGTAGAGCTTTTGGAGCCTCCATTTGCTGATGTGGCATGACTCAAAATGAGAAGAAAGAGCTGCAAATATTCATTAATAATTAGAACATTGAATGTACGAAGTATGATGAGTCAATGAAAGCTGGAAGTTGTGAAAAATGAAATGGCACACATAAAGAGTGATATCCTAGGTGTTAGTGAGCTGAAAGGGACAAGTTTTGGCCATTTGGAATAGGACAGCCATATGATCTACTATGCCGGGAATGACAAAGAGGAATGGCATGACATTCATCATCACAAAGAGTGCTTCAAGATCTATCCTGAAGTACAATGCTGTCAGTGATAGTATAATATCCATATGCCTACAAGGAAGGCCAGCTAATACTCCTGTTACTCAAATTTATGCACCAATCACCAAAGCCAAAGATGAGGAAATTGAAGATTTTTACCAACTTCTGCAGTCTGAAATTGACAAAACATGCGATCAAGATGTGTTGATTATAACTAGTGATTGGAATGCAAAAGGTGAAAATAGAAGAATCTCTGGTAGTTGGAAAATATGGTGTTGGTGACAGAAATAGTGGTATACAGCACATGATAGAATTTTGCAAGATCAATGACTTATTCATTGCAAATACCTTTTTTCAGCAACACAAACAGTGGCTACATGTGTGGACTTCACCAGATGGAGTACACAGGAATCAGATTGACTACATCTGTGGTGGGAGGTGATGGAAAAGCTCAATATCTTCAGCTAGAACAAGGCCAGGAGCTGACTGTGGAACAGACCATCAGCCATATGCAAGTTCAACTTGAAGTTGAAGACAATTAAAACAAGTCTACAGGAGCCAAAATATGACCTTGAATATATCCCTCCTGAAATTAGAGACCATCTAAAGAATAGATTTGATGCATTAAACACCAGTGACCGAAAACCAGAGAAATTGTGGGATGACATCAGGAACATCATCCATGAAGAAAGCAAAAGGTCATTAAAAAGACAGGAAAGGCAAAAAAGACCAAAATGGATGTCAGAAGAGACTCTAAAACTTGAATGGAGAGTAGCTAAAGCAAAGGGAAGAAATGACAAGATAAAAGAGCTGAACAGAATATTTCAAAGAGCAGCTCAAGAAGACAAAGTCAGTTATTATAATGAAATGTGCAGAGACATGGAGTGGAAAGCCAAAAGGGAGGAACACATTTGGCATTTCTCAAGCTGAAAGAACTGAGGAAAAAAATTAATCCTTGAGTTGCAATATTGAAATATTCTATGGACAATATATTGACTGATGCAGGAAACATCAAAGGAAGGAATACACAGAGTCACTGTACCAAAAAGAATTGGTTGATGTTCATCCATTTCAGGAGGTGGCATATGATCAAGAACCAATGGTAATGAATGAAGAAGTTGAAGCTGTACTGAAGGAAGTGGCAAAAAACAAGGCTCCAAGAATTGACAGAATACCCACTGAGATGTTTCAACAAATGAATGCTGAGCTGGAGGCACTCACTTGCTATGCCAAGAAATCTGTAAGATAGCTACCTGGCCAACTGACTGGAAGAGATCCATGTTTGTACCAATTCCAAAGAAAAGTGATTCCACAGAAATTTTCGTGCAATATCATTAATATCACATGCAAGTAAAATCTTAAAAAAATATACAGCAGTATATTGACAGAGAACTTCCAGAAATGCAAGCTGGGTTCAGAAGGCGACATGGAACAAGGGATATAGTGGATACAGTGGATGTCAGATGGATCTTGACTGAAAGCAAAGAATACCAGAAAGATGTTTACTTATATTTTCTTGACTATGCAAAAGCATTCAATTGCATGGATTATAACAAATTGTGGATAACATTGAGAAGAATGGGAATTCCAGAACACTTAATTGTACTCATGAGGAACCTGTACGTAGATCAGGAGACTGCCATTTGAACAGAACAAGGGAACACTGCATGGTTTAAAATCAAGAAGGGAGTGTGTCAGGATTTTATCCTTTCATCCCACTTACTCAATCTGTATGCTGAGCAGATAATCCGAGAAGCTGGACTACAGGAAGAAGAATGTGGCATCAGTATTGGAAGAAGACTTACTAACAACCTGTGATACGCTGACGACACAACTTTGCTTGCTGGATTTGAAGCACTTACTGATGAAGATTAAAGACTCACCTCAATATAAAGAAAACAAAAGTCCTCACAATGTGTCCAATAGTCAGCATGATGATAAATGGAGAAAAGATTGAAGTTGTCAAAGACTTCATATTACTTAGTTCTACAATCAACACCAATGGAAGCAGCAGTCAAGATATCACATGACGTATAGCATTGGGCAAATTTGCTGCAAAAGACCTCTTTCAACTACTAAAGAGCAAAGATATCTCCTTCAAGACTAATGTGCGCCTGCCATAAGCCATAATATTTTAGTCAGCTCATATACATGAAAGAGCTAGACAATGAATAAAGAAGACTGAAGAAGAGTCGATGCTTTTGAGTTGTGGTGTTGGGGAAGAATGCTGGAAGTACCATGGATTGCTAAAAGAACTAATAAATCTGTCCTGGAAGAAGTGCAGCCGGAATGCTTCTTGGAAGCAAGAATGGCCAGACCTCGTCTCACCTGCTTTGACCGTTGTAAGAAAGGATCATTCCCTGGAGAAGGATATCATGCTTGATAAAGTGGAGGGTCAACAAGACGGATTGATACAATGGCTACAACGATGGGCTCAGGTATAGCAAGGGTTGTGGGGCTGGAACAGGACCAGGCAGTGTTTTGTTCTGCTGTCCTTAGGGTTGCTATAAGTCAGAAAGGACTCAATGGCACCTAACAACAACTTAACAGTAAAGTGTATAGTGTCTCCAAATAATTATTTTTCCATGTTTGGGCTAAAAATACCTTCAGCTTTGTTTCATGTGATGTAAGTTTTAAGTCCCCCTTCAACCTTTTTCACAGCTAACATGCTGCAGCTTGTCAACGGCATTCTTAAAACATGGCATCTAAATGTGGTTATCACAGTGTGGTCTTTTATAACCCTACCAACTCGTTTTTTGTAGACCAAGAATTGACAAACTATGTCTTGCAGGTTAAATCCAACTTGCAGCCTGTTTTTGCAAATAAGGTTTTATTGGAACATAGCCTTTCCTATTTTTTTTTTGCATATTATTTGTATCTGCCTTCTTCTACAATGACTTAGGTGAGTAGTTGGCAACAGAAACTGTATGGCTACAAAGTGTGAAATACTTACTCTTGGCTACTTTACAGACAAGATCTCCTGACTCCTATTTTAGACAATGTTTCTGTTAATACTGTCTTTGGTCAGCATTTTTGGCAGCTACATCACATTTAATTCCTATTGAGCTCCCAGTCCAATAAAACCACTAAGTCTTTCACATGTGATGCTATTGAGTAAATAATTTAATAAAGGAGGAATTTGAGGGTGTCTTGCCTGTCTTTTTGATAATTTAGAAAGGCTTCTTGGAGGACATAGGATTTCATGTTTTCTTTGAGAGAAGATGCACACAGTAATCTGCTTCGAAAATGATAGTCTGGATATAGTGTATGGTTTAGTGTGGTGCTTTTAAAACTGTGTTTTCTGAAAAACTAGTCTGTGTTCCTCAATAAAAGGGCATTATGGTAACATAAGTTTAGAAAGCACTGTGCACAATATCCCCTTTCTTGGGCAGTCACAATGTATGTAAAGGCTTCCAGAAGTATTGAATAAAGTGATCTGTTTGTTGTTGTTTCTCCACCCACACCTGACTGGAGAAGCATGTGTGTGTGTGCATGTGCCTACACCTTATGTGCATGTACAGAGTTGCTATTAACATTTCTTGGAGCTCTAAGGGACAAAAATAGTAAATTCTGGGTTGAGGAATGGCTTAAAAGTATAAGGAGTGGCAGATACTGATGGAAGGGTAGAAAGTGTTTATTAAGGAAAGTTCCAGAAGTTAGTATTGTGCATGCTTGATAACGTCTGAGATGGTGAGGAAATTGCCATTTTATATACTCATTTTTTTTTTAACATCAATTGAGACTTCAAAAGTGGATGCCAAAAAAATAGATGCCAATTCCTTAAAATTATGAACTCTAGAGGATTTAGAGACTTTTTCACATATATATATTTTTTATATCTGATGTAGAGATTAAGTTAGCAAAAAATGAATGTAGAAGTGTTAGGAGCTATGAGTTAATGATCTAAAAAGAATGAAAATATATATTTTCTAAAATTAGAAAATAAACAAATAAGGAAAATTTGACTTGGGTTAAAAGTTCCAGAAATACATTGATGAAGTGAGGAATAGCTATGATAAAATTTGTTCTTTCTAGATATAGTAGAGATGGTAAATAAAGTTCTTTGGTTATTTTGTGTATTTTTATTCTCTCTTTTTTCTTCTCTCCAAAGTTAAAGTGTGATTTTCAGTCATTATAGTATCTTAGTTTGCAATGTTCCAAACCAAATATATCTATTAATAATTTTTTTTCATTGTTCAAAAGGTTATGCAATTCTCCAGTAGAAATGTTGATATAATTTAAGCCTAAGAAAATACCTCTGGGCCAATAATGTGATGGAATACTGAAATTTCATCCAAAAATACCTATTCGTATTCTTTTCATATTAAATCTTGATCTTATCCAAATTGTCTAAATGTTTGTTTTTTATGAGTTTAAATTGTCTTCTCTCCACAGAATCAAGTGACGGATACTAATAGAAAACTACAACATGAGGGAAAGGAAGTAAGGCCAGTTTACTTTTCAAAAATCTTTTCTGTTTCATGTTTTGATGATTCTCTAGGTTTTTTATTCAGTATTTTGTAAGACAGTAAGGAGTTACTGGAGGAACTTGAATATTATTGCTGCTTCTCCAAATGTGTATCTGAATTAAATGAATATAGACACTAGAAAGCCTGTTGAAAGGGTGCAGCTTTCCTTATCAATATTATTAAGTCACTTGAGTAGTAATATGGTTAGTGCCGTTCCCTCTACTGGGAACGTTCTTCCCTCAGTGTCTACCTACGTACTTCAGATCTTTGTTCAAATGTTACCTTTTTAATAAAGACTTTCCTGACCACTTTATTGCAGTCTTACCCTAACCCCTCTTCTTTTTTTTACCCTTTTCAGCTTTATATTTTTCTACTGTACCTATCATGCTCTGATATGGTGTACTTTTACTTGTATATTTATTTTTTCCCATTACTCTCTATTAGATAATTTCTCCATGAGGTCAGGAAGTTTTATTTGTATAATTCATTGCTGCATCCCCTCTATCTACCTAAATAGCATGAGTTGGTGCTCAATAAATATTTGTTTTAAAAAAATGAATAATTGATTCCATTTTACCTTTCATAGTTTACAAAATTATTTTACATCCATTTTCTAACTTGATCCTCATGGCAGACCTATGATAAAGTCAGGGCAGATGTTAATATTATTTTATTGATTAGGAAACTAAAACATGGATGATTTGCTAAAGTTTACATAGATAATAATTGACAAGGCTGGGACTAACACTCAATTTTTCTGAATTATAGTTCATTGCTGTTCTCTATAGCATGCATTTTATTACCTAATATTTTTAAGTATTAATTTTAATAATCTTTAAGATTGGCTTTTAATTGTTTTATCAGTGATTTAATCAAGGCTATTCTTATTCTTTTTTTTCGTGGTATCTAAGCAGATAGTGAGTACAGGATGAATACTGCAAGAGACTATGTAGATTATTGCCTTTCTAGAGTTTGTCTCACATATTCTGAATTATGCAGAGAGTACAGTTTCTTCTAGTTATATTGTAGGATGATTTCAGATGGAAGCCTTTTAAACGGAAGAAAAGTGAGTTATTCTTTACTCAGTTGGAACTCTCTTAGAAAAATTATAACTTCTGAGTGTGGTTTATTTGTTGAAATAGATTTAGTTGGGGTTCATTTTCAGGACTCACTTAAAGCTGTATAGCAAGGACTGTTTTCCTCCAAGTGTCTAGCACTGATGAAAGCGATATAGAATCTTAGAAGACAAAAGATACCATAAATCATAAAGAGCCTGAATAGAGTTTGCAGAAAATGTGCATATTTTTTGCTTTTGCCCTAGATAACCCTGTATTTTAGGATTTTATTTTGCTTAGCTTTTCTTAATATAGTATGTGCTCTGGGAAGAAAGTGAGGAACTGCAGGAATGTTTTACTGGTTGGGATAGGCAGTTCCTTAGTCTAGCTGGCAGGTCTTACTATGAAATTGTCTGGGATTTTCTGATGAATTGAACAGAGTGGAAATATGTGACTGAAAGCTTTTTATTTACAGCTAGTGGCATAATTCCGTTTTTTCCCCCCCCCCTCTTGCCAAGCTGGTAATAGCAATGGAAGAGCTGAAGCAGTGTCGACTACAACAGAGAAATATTTCTGCTACTGTTGATAAATTAATGCTGTGTCTTCCAGGTGAGGAACTGGAAATGGAGTGGCACTTTTGATGCAATTCCTTTAGCTTTAATTAATCTTTCACTTTCTCTAAATAATGCTTGTATGCTCTTTTTCCCCTTCTCTTTCAAGTCTTAGAGATGTATAGCAAACTGAGGGACCAGATGAAAACTAAAAGGTGAGTTTTTTTTTTATTATTAAATAGTTTTCAGTATCTAAAATTAGTGTTATTTAGAATATTTAAATGTCTGTATTTAGCATAACCTTTCAAAAATAACCGTGTAACATCTTCTCTAGCCTTTTGTGTGTTTATTTATTCATCCCTAGATTTATGCATACTAGTGGTATGCTGACATATTCTGTCATGTATTGTTTGATAAAAAGCATTGTTTCCAGTTGGATTTTTAGAGGGTTCAATCTTTTAGGGAAAAGCATGTAACTATTTTAGTGATAGTTGGTTTGAGAAATATACTTTTGTTTAATTAGAAAATATAATTACTGGATCTGGCAAGGTTAATATTAAGTTCAGAGTATTCCTGCCCTATGTGCTGTTTTTATCTAATTCCAGAACAAATACACAGTTACTCTTTGGCTCTACTTCTGAAATTAAAGTAAGCATCCCTACCCTCTGCTCTGGGGCACACTGCAGTATGATGGGGATATGTGAAGCCACAGGATGAAAAGGGCATGTCTCTTGAAGTGTTAATTTTACCTAGATTTTGATAAAAAAATTATGGACTTAATGTATTTAATATTGAAATAAGAACAGAAATATTACAGATAAAATTCCAACTTCTCAAGAATTTTAAAGCTCAAGCATGAAACATCAACTTTTTTTTAGTTTCTTAGAATTATTTCCTATCCTCAGGAGGACTTGTTAATTTAAAAGAACACAGGTGGAACCAGTAGAGCAGTTCTGTTCAAGGAGATAGGAAAGTATAGTATTATTCCTCTAATAAACTTATTATAAACTTAGAAAATTACAAAGAATAAAAAATAATGTGTATCAAACTCTCTGAATTATAGATATCAATGATTTTCTAGTTTTGGTTCATATATATTAGTGAGAGAGAGGCTCTGGACTGCTGGCTTGTGGAAAACCTTTTATACCTTCATGTATATGAGGTAAAAATAAGCATTAAAAAATTGTAGATAAAATTTATTATTCTCTTTCTTGGTCCTTTTCATTTCCCTTCTTTCCTGAGGAAACCAGTATCATAAATCTTCTAGTATATGTTTTCAACATAGATCATATATTGTATTACTTTGTATTTTTAAAACACTTAGATGGTTTTTAGTCCTTATTATGTTGAGATTCATTCATTCATTCAAACAAAATGAAGTGAATGAGTACTGTTATGTGCCAGGTATTGCTTTCGGTGTTTTGGATGTTTCGGTGTTTGTGAATGAGAAAGACAAAAATCCATGCCATTATAGAGCTTAGTGGTCTTCTTTGTAGGTGTGTGACTATTACCATATCATTGACAGTGTTGTATTTCAGCATAGATCTTGAAATATTCATTTTGGCAATGAATGCAGTATTGTTACTCTTCAGTCTAGTTAATATGATTATTCAAATTTATACACCAAACAATAATGCCAAAGATAAAGACACTGAAGAATTTTCCCCAACTTCTGCAGTTTGAAATTGATGAAACATGCAATCAAGATTAATTGATAATTACTGGTGATTGAAATGTTAAAGTTAGAAATAAGGGTGGGTAGTAGGAAAATATGGCCTTCGTAGTAGAAACAATGTCGAGATTGTGTGATAGAATTTACTTTTTTACCTGTTTCTTTTGTTTTTCTTTCTTTCTTTCTTTTTTGATTGTGATTTGGGTGAAAATTTACAGAGCAAATTTACTTTCCATTCAGCAGCTCACGTATACTTTGTCTCATAACATTGACTACAGTTTACTACAATGTAACAGCTCCCCTCCCACTTCCTCCCCATAGTTACCCTTCACTGTGTCCATCCCTCCATGCACTCCTGCCCCCTGAGCTGTCTCCTTGTGCATAAACAGCCCTTCTTTCTCCCATGATTTACTTTATTTCTTTTTATAACAACATAAATGGCAACTATCTCAAGAATAGATTTGACACATTGAACACTAATGACTAAAGACTAGACAAGTTATGGGATGACATCAAAGATATCAGACATGAAGAAAGCAAGAAGTCATTAAGGAACACAGGAAAGAAAGAAAACTAAAATGGATGTCAGAAGAGACTCTGATACTTGCTCTTGAACATAGAGTAGCTAAAATGAGTGGAAGAAATGAAGTAAAAGAACTGAACAGAAGATTTGAGAAGACCAAGTAAAGTATTGCAATGAAACGTGCAAAGACCTGGAGTTAGAAAACCAGAAGGGAAGAACACAGTGTTTCTCAAGCTGAAAGAACCGAAGAAAGAATTCAAGACTGAAGTTGCAATACTGAAGGATTCTATGGGCAAAATACTGAACAATGCAAGGAAGCATCAAAAGAAGATGGAAGATGGTGGTACTTCAGTTTGTGTGTCAACTTGGCTGGGCCTGGTTGAGTGGCTGGGCAGCTGGTGGTAGTTAATCCCCACGAGGAGATTGGCAATCAACATAGGGTGAGATCTACCACAAGCAGCTGGGTAGCTGCCTTAGGGAATGTGGTCTGCTTCCTGCATTTAAGCAGAAGCCTTGGGAATGGTCTCTAGCCTTTGGAACTCTTGGACCCTGCATGTAGCCGTGTAGTTGCTCAGCACCCTGCCGTGCTCTGCTGACCTTGGTGTTAGGCCAGAGTAAACTCAAGCCACCAACATTTCAGTTAGCTTCCTCTGGGTGTCAGGCTCTGATGAGACAGCCTGATAAGACAACCAAGGTGACAAAACCCGCCCAGGCTGGAAAGTCCCATGTGATAACAAACTTCCTCCTGTGAAGCCCCCTCATGCTAATTAAGTGCAGACCCATGCCAACAGCTAATTGGACTCTGCCATTTCCTTAGTGTCCCCAGTTAAGTCTTCTCTGTGTCTATAAGAATCTATCCCCCCTGCCCAGGGGTGCGACTTCTCTAGCCCTGATGCTAAGGCATGAGAACCTGGCCCGGGAGTGCTAATAAACTGCTTCTCTGAAACAACTCCATGTCCTGGTGTCTCGGCAAATCTGCATTACACTTGGGACTTACAGTGGACTTAAGTTAATGGCTTGCTGTGTGGTTTGGTAACATTGGGATTGTGCCTTTTTACTTGTCAACCTTGGGACTTCTCAGCCTCAGCAGCCTGCAGCTGTCTGAGTGAAGAAAAGCCTCTAGCTCCAGTAGGCTGGGAGCAGGAGGCAGAGCTGGACCCCAAGGTTGAGGGGCTTTCATCCAGCCCCTAGAGGCCAGCACTTTGAACTTGGACTTAAAGCTTCCAAGTTGTCAGAATAAACTCCTGTTTGTTTAAGCCATCCCATTTGTGGTATATTTCCTGTTAGAGCGGCACCAGATGACCAGAACAGAAGGCATATAGAGAGTCACTTTACTAAAAAGAGTTAGTTGATTTTCAACCATTTCAGGAGGTCCAATATGATAAAAAACTGAACTAAAGGAAGAAGTCCAAGCTGCACTAAAAGCATTGGTGAAAAACAAAACTCCAGAAAATGAGGGAATACTAACTGAGATATTTCAACAAACAGATACAATGCTTGAAGCACTCACTTGCCCATGCCAAGAAATTTGGAAGACAGCTACCTAGCCAAATGACTGATAGAGATCCATATTCATACCTATGTCAAAGAAAGGTGATCCAGTGGAATGTGAAAACTATCAAACAATGTCATTAATACCACACAAGTAAAATAATGCTGAAGATAATTTAAAAACAGTTGCAGTGGTACATCGACAGGGAATTGCCAGAAATTCAAGCCAGATTCAGAAGAACTCATGGAACAAGAGATATCATTGTTGCTATCAGGTGGATTTTGGCTGAAAACAGAGAATGCTAGAAAGATGTTTACCCTTGTTTTACTGACTATGCAAAGGTATTAGACTGTGTGGAGCATAACAAACTATGGATAACATTATGAAGAATGAGAATTCCAGAACTCTTAATTGTGCTCGTGTGGAATCTGTACATAGATCCAGACGCAGTTATCCAGAGCAGAACAAGAGGATAATGAGTAGTTTAAAATCAGGAAATGTGTGCATCAGGGTTGTATCTTTTCACAATATGTATGTATTTTGTATGTTGAGCAAATAATCCAAGAAACTGGACAGTATGAAGAAGAATGTGGCATCAGGATTGGAGATTGACTCAACAGCCTGTGACATGTGGTTGGCACAACCTTGCTTACTGAAAGTGAAGGTGACTTGAAGCACTTACTGATGAAGATCAGAGACTACAGCTTTCTGTGTAGATTACACCTCAGCATAAAGAAAACAGAAATTCCCACAATAGGAGCAATAAATAACATCATGATAAATGGGGACTTGACAGCACATAACAACAACCACCACCACCATCGAGTTGATACTGATAGCGACCCTACAGGACAGAGGAGGGTTTTCAAAGCTGTAATCATTATGGAAGCAGATTGCCATATTTTTCTCCCATGGAGTGGCTGATGGGTTCAGAGTTTGGACCTTTCAGTAGCTCAGCACTCACTCACTCACTGCCGTCGAGTCGAATCTGGCTCATAGTGACTCCTCCTTGGGTTTCCAAGGCAATATCACTATGGAAGTAGATTGCCCAATCTTCCTTTTGAGGAGTGGCTGGTGGGTTTGAATCACCAGCCTTCTGGTTAGTAGTCAAATGCCTTAGGCACTATGCCACCACATTAGTTAAGTTATAAATACTTGTTTTAAGCCACTGAAGTTTTGGGGGTTGTTTGTTCGTAAAAGGTAATCTATCCTGGTTGGTACTATGAGGTACTTTTTTTTTTTTTTTTTTTTTTTAATTGTGATCTGGGTGAAATTTTACAGAGCAGATTTGTTTTCCATTCAATAGTTCCTGCACATTTTATTTCACGATGCTGATTACTATCCCCAACATGTAATGGTTCTCTTTCCACTTTCTCCCTGTGGTTATCCTTTTCCTGTATCCTTCTTACCTATGCATTCCTGCCTCTGTAGCTTTCTTCCTGCACCATTGCTGTATTTCTGATCTCCCATGGTTGATTGTTCTAAGGATGCATCTCTCTTGTTTAGTTGTTCAGTTTGGAGGCATGTC